AGACACACAAGAGACACTAAGCTCTGGAGAGGGATGTTGGGGAAAGTGCTTCATCTGAGAGAAATCTTTAACAGTTGGTCTCCTAGATTAGATTTTCTAGTTAGATTTTTTAAAAAAAAACACTGATGTCACACTAGCATTTAACCTGTGAACACATGATTATGGCATTTCCTGTTACCTGTCCTGTTAAACAAGGCTCTCTTTCCTTGGCATTTGGTCCGCAGGAAATGCTAGAAAAGGCAACCACAAGACAGGAGAAAAGAAGGCAGCACAGGGCATCATCACAGGGCATGTCAGCCAACTCACGGAGCTGAAGAGCAATGAAGGGGAATGTCACACCTCCGGCTTTGGCCTCTGGTTTCCAGAAATACCAATTTACGCATTGGTAGAAGGCTTATTTGAGCATGCAGTCTCCTGTCCTGACCTGATGCTCTAGGGATGCAACAAGTCAATGCTACTCAAAGTGGACCAGTAGTGGTCCCCGTGCCATTGTTTGCAAGTCCCTGGTGCGTTTCCTTTCCGATAAAGGGAGGGAAATGTTGCAAACTGGTACAAATATAGTGCCAGTCAGTGACACACTGGGGAAAAAATATATTTGCCAGCCCCACACATCAGACAGCCTAAGAAGCAGTGCACTGGGCTACTATATGCACCCAGGTAACATGGTCATGATCATGGCGAATGGGGATGATGGGAGCTGTCAGCCAACATATCTGGATGAGAAGAAGGCTGTTACACAGAGCCATGGGGCTGAAAAAGACCCAAAGTCTAGGTCCAACTAAGGGCCTAAGCAGACTGCCAGAAATAGTGCACATTAAATTGAGGCACTGCCCTGGCTGAGTGCTAGGGAATCATGGGAACTGTAGTTTATTGTGGCACCAGAGCTCTCTGACAGAGAAGGCTCAATGTCTCAGAAAAAAAAATACAATTCCCATGACTCCCCAGCACTGAGCCAGGGCAGTGCCTCAATTTAATGTGCACTATTTCTGGCAGTCTGCTTAGGCCTTAAGTTCAACAAGTGTAGGAAGGGTTTGAAGGGGGGGGCACAGTGACCAGACATCCTCCTTTCCCAGGACATATCCTACATTTCATCCTTCTGTCCGGGAGGAATTCTAAAATGTCCTCCATTTTGAGCATGACTAAGAAACACGGGTTTATGTTTATATTGTTTTTAGCCTTTCTTTGGTCATGTCCTCTATTTTTCTTGCTCATCCTCCATTTTGACCATAACAAAACAAGCATGAATTTATATTTCTAAGAGTGTTTTTAAGCTTTTATTTGGATCCAAAACATGCTGCAAAAATAATCCAGTTTGAGACAGCTTTAACTGCCCCGGCTCAATGCTAGGGAATTCTGGGAACTGTAGTTTTGTGAGACATTTAGCCTTCTCTTTGTCAGAGAGCTCTGGTGCTGCAATAAATCACAATTCCCAGGATTCTCTATCACTGAGACTGGGCAGTTAAAGTGATCTCAAACTGCATTATTTCTGCAGTGTGCTTTGGACCTTGGTCATGTCCTCCATTTTCCTTGAACGTCCTCCATTTTGACCATGACTGACAAGCATGGATTTGTATTTCAAGGAGTGTTTTTACCTTTTATGGTGTCCTCTACTTCACTTCTCTGTTTCCAGGAGCGTTTTTAGCTTTTATTGGGCCACGTTCCCCATTCCTCGGCGCCTGGTCCTCCTTGGCAGCGAGGAGACCTGGTCACCCTGACGCCGGTCACCCATTTCCTGGGCTGCCCTCACGTCCTGCCCCTCCTCAGCCCACCAGGGAGGCCTCTCCGCTCCTCTCCCCCCACTTACGTGCAGTCCTGGTTGTAGGAGAAGCAGCTCAGCGCCTCGGTCTCTCCTGCGGCGGCCTCCATGGAACCCTCTCTGCCTCTCGGACCCAAACAAGAGTCACAACAAGCCGGCTCTTCTCCTCCTCCGCCAGCCCCAGAGCGGGGGGTGGGGCCATCTTCCTCGCACGCCCTCCCATTGGTCAAACCGCCCAATTGAGCCCGCCCCCTCGAGGCCAGGAAGGAGCCCCGCCCTTCAGGCCCCGCCCACGACGCCAACAGGGCCGGCCGCCATTGGCCCGAGCGGGTGGGCGCGAGGAAACAGCTGATGGGGCCACGTGGTGCTGATGTTGTGGTGGCGGTTGCATCAGACGGGGAGCGGCCGTTGGCCCGGCGCCCCCTGGCGGCGGACGGGCTCCTCCCACCTCAGAAACCTCGTTTGTCCTCAACAAATTATTATGCCTTAAAGTAAACTCTTGTAGAACAAGGCCACGCAGCCCGAAAAACCACAAAAAACTATGGATGCCGGCCATGAAAGCCTACGACTTCATATTATTCCTTTCTTTCTTTCTTTCTTTATGGAAACAATATTTTTTTTATTAAACATGTATGTCTAATATAAACAGTAACAAATACATTAAAAATAATAAATAAAATAACAATAAACAATCAAGATTAATGGAAACTATTTTTATTAAACAAGTATGTCTAAAATAAACAGTAACAAATAAATAAAAATTAAAAATAATAACAATAAACAATAAATAAAGATTAATGGAAACAATATTTTTTATTAGACAGCAAAGCAACAACCATATATGTATTTTACTTGTATGTCTAAAATAAACAATGACAAAGTTATAGCGTGGCGTTATGGTTTGAGGGTTGGACGTTGACTCTGGAGGCCTGGGTTCGAATGTTTGCTCAGCCAGGGAAACCCACCTTGGCCCAGTCACACTCTCTCGGCCTCAAAGGATGGCAAGGTCAAACCGTCTCTGAAGAAACTTGCCGATAAAACCCCATGAC